TTGTGGGACCACACTTGTCCACATGTGAATCTTGCTTTGAGAATTTTTCAGATCCTTTCCAAGATATAGATAGTTGATCACTTAACAGGTGCGTCTCTATCTTAATGTTTGCTTTTATAACCATGAACATTCAGATATATGCTTGAGTGATATGAGATCTTCATCATGGTTAATAGATATTATCATAAATATTGCGGTGGTTTTGTAGCACAAATGGCTGAACACGTCTTGTGACTATTTTTGCTTAAATTATCTTTGACGTGATAATAGTTGGGTATTGGAACAAAAGGTTGTCTGTGTATATCAAACTCTGGTAACATTAATAGCTTAGCAAAAGTGGACCATTGGACTAGTTTCAACGAATTTGAACCTATCTCAATGGAATTTATATGCTAGGTACGGTAATCACAAACTGAGATTTTATTTCTCTGAGAAGGGGAGGAAATTTTATTTCCAAGGAGACATAATAATTTGGTTGGATAAACAGTAAGTTAAAAGGGTAACCGGCAGTTTCATATAATGTTGGGTTTTATGGGTTTCTTAATCTCATTGTTTAAATGCCACATGCATGATTGGGTTTTATGAAATTTGGTTTTATGAGTTTTAAGTGTGTGTGTGTGTGCGTGTTATATTCCATGCGTTTTATGGATTTTAATATATTACTGTCCTTGTGATGGTCAACATTTTAAAGTCTATGTAAATGTTGAACTGTTGAAGAAGCAATATCAGTTTTTCTTGATTTGGCAGTTTACACATTTATTGTCATATATATTATGATTACAGTATTAAAAAAACAAAAACTGTGAAAGTTTTAACATTGTATGGATATATTAATTTTATTGATAACCTCCGTTATTATTAATGTTATATATCTCTTTCAATTCTTTTTAATATGCCAACGGTAATTTTCCTTGGGCATTTTCCCGAAAAATGCTCCATCATTGACAAGCCAAGTAATATACATAACGTAGGTGGACATATTTCCAATTATGAGATTTTAATATTAAATCTATTAATTTGCAATTACCTTGTGGCATTATTTTTGTGAGTCATATATTCGTATGCTTCCTATGGTCTTCCGTTTAAATTGTTTGTGGAAGGATTATAGTACCGCATATATATTAGTTCGGTGGTGTCAAATCTCCAATATTGCTTCATATACCATACTGAATACAAATATGTATATTCGGTGCATGCATTGATTTAATTTAAAAAAAATTAAGTGGATGGTACGATTTGCACATTGACATGAAAACAGTCATATGTTTGTGTTGTGGATATTTTAACTTTAGAGTTTTTGTGACATTTTTGTGAAATTAGAATGATATTTTTTTTAATTCTAATTTATAATTAGAATGAGAGGAGATATTGGTGTGAGATTCTAATTTAATTAGAATTATTATTAATGAGATATGTAAATAATTTTCCTATAAAAATGAAATATTTGAAAGTGTGGGGGTGCCTAAAATGTGGGGTACCTTACAAAACAATATTGGTGGAGAAAATATGTTTTAATTTATTTCAAATTGTGTTAGTCTCATTTTGCACATCTCAATATGTGTGTTGTGTTTTTAAAAAAAAAAAAATAAGTGGAGGTTTTGTTATTTGCCATTGAGAGCAAATTTGGTGAATTATCAAATTTTTCTGTGTTGCTTAAAACAAGCATTATGTGGGTATGAAAATTTAGTCATTTATCTAGTACTTTAATTTTCATAATATACATTATTTGTGGTTTTAAGTGTTGAAATCATAAAGGAATGAGATTTTGAGAGAAGTGTTTTAAAAGCTTGGTTTTTGAGAACCAGTATGTGAATATTCTTTATGATGCTAATACTTTATTTGAGGTAGCTGTGCAGCTCAATTTGTATATGCGCAAATTTTTGAGAATTTGTTACATTAAATTAGCTTTGTGATGTAACTTTTGAAGAACACATATTTAAATATGGAGTCCTATGAGGGAAATGAAATACTTGAGGGATACCATAAATTTTGGTATCATGTATAGTGGATTCTCGTGGTATAGAGATACAAGGATGTTAACTCAATTTCAGTTTATATGAGAAAATTCACTAGTGATCATTCACCTTTAGTGGTGATTAGACGCTAAGATGTTGAAAACTTCTTAGCAGATCTTTTGGTGTAAAACCAACACTTGTCAATGAGTTGTGATTGCTAAATAGCAATAACCATTGTAGAGAAAACAATGGTGCAAGAGGAAATCACTTGAGATACAATGTGAATAAGCATGCTTAAAAAATTGTGAAGTTATCTCAATCAATTTTGTGAGGTTGAAAAAGGACCTATCAGATCTGTCATCAAAACCCTGGGAAGGAACAGATTAGTCGAGGGGAATGGGACTAAAGCCAATTTGAAATTGACAGCGATGGCAACCCAACATTTGTGATTGGTGATCCCATGAAGAAGGTTCAATGGGTAAGAACAAGTCATTTGTCGGTTCTGCTAGCACTGAAATAAAATACTGGTCCCTTCTTATGACATGAGAAACTGCTAGAATGTATTTTGGTGAGGCTGAGCGAAAGCTCTTAATGATTTCATAATCCTATGGGATGATGTGCTCATTGCAGGTACATTTAATGAAATCACCTCTACGAATGTGGAGTGGGGCCGCTCCTATAAGATCATAGCAAAATCTCTAGAGCATTCGTTATGCAACAAGCACGCGCATAACCGTCTTAATGCCAAAAACACCGTTAATAGCGAAAATGTGGGGGTATAATCTGACTAATAATGCCTCTAGTATACGCCCTAGAGGTGTTGGTTTTAAGTTCATAGGATCACTAACATCTCTATGTACTAAGTGTTATTAGTCTAGGTCTGGTTTTAAGTTCAAAGGACCACCAGATACAATGGTTATATTCATATGTGTAGCTCGATTAAAGGTACTTCCTTTGACACATGTGGGGGATTGTTGTAAATAATGTATGTGGGTGTGTCAAAGGAAGAGTCCCACACTACTTGGGATTGTGGGGGGTCCAAGTAATAAGAGGTCTTGGGTTGCTAAATGGGCCAAGAGGAGGAGTGGACTCGTACGCACAATGGGCCACTTGAGACAAATCTAGCAATTTCCCCTCAGCCCCTGTGCATGAGTCAAACGCGATACTGGGCACTTTTTATGAAAAATATTTGTCTAATTAATACACCTCCTTAATCACCATTATGCCTCTTCAATATTTGTAACTGACATCTTTAATAATTCTAAATCCTCATTAAGTGAGTTAATGATATTGAAACTGAAACTTAATTGTGTTTAAGTGCCCAATGCTCCCTTGTGATCCGCGGCCTATAAATGGGGCATGAAACCGAAGTTCACCACGACTGAGCTTTGAACTTTCGGGCAACTTTCTTCCCTCCTCTAGTGTTCTACCTTACTAAGTTCTTTTATCTTTCGTTGTTCTGCTCACCCTATTCTTACAGGAAGAATCCATTTAATCCTGGGGAGTGCCGCTTCTTACTTTGCCGATAGTTGCGGAGTAGCTCTTAAGGACAGTGTCTGTGAGACACGACTCGGATTTACCATTTCTCTGCAAGTGTTGCTGTCAACAGGGTTTGCCTAGCATTATAGAGGAGGTGGAAGATCTGTTGGATTTTGGAGAATTTCAGTGCTGCCACCAATACATAATTGGACATTCTTTTCTAGGATCGTTGAAGAATGAACCTGAGCCAAATTCACACAACCAAGAAGAGACATAAATTCTATGTTAGGAATGTGAGAGAGATCTGGGAGTGCAATGAGGTCTTTCAAATGTGATAGAAAGATTTCCTTTAGATTTGGAAAAAGTTGGGAAGCAAAAAAAAAAAAACAAAGTTAAATAAATTAGATAACTACACGCGCATATAATTTAATCAATAATTTCTCACATGCCAATTACAAGATGAATTGGATTTCCCGGGGGAAAAAAAAGTTCAACTACTGTTTAACCATCAATTTAAAAGGCGTGAAGCAAATATTTGCATTGTAAATGACTTGATCACTGTTTGAGGTGAGATCTTAGAATCACCTCGTGAAAAAAATTATCACATGTAAAACATGGTATGTACCTTATTTCCATCCCAAAGTTGTTAGATATTACTATAAGGCATTTCAAGTGTAATAAGATTCTTGGCACATAAATGTAATGGGACGCATAGTAGTGGATATTCTTCCCATCATTTCTTCTAAAAGATAATCCAAGTCTTCATATTATTCTACCTTGAAGGCTTTTCCTGATCAGACTTGTAAACTTTCAGAAATACCAAATTATACATCTTTCAAAATTACTAGCTCTCGGTGTAATCCCTTTTATCTTGCTCACATCCAATGACATGCATGGAATTGCCTCAATCCCCTATTAACGTCAAATCAAAGGAAACAGTACGAGAAGACCGGTTAATACAAAAAACGAGTATCCCTAAGAATTAATCTCATGCGCCAAAAAATCAGTACGAAAAGTAAAAGATTTGGAGCCGGGAAGAATGTAGACCATTTTATAGCCTTTAATAGATACACTTTCTTCGTTTTCAATTTTCATATGCTATGGTAATAGCGTGTACTCGCATGTGTATGGATATACACACTTACACGTACTATACCAATTAGCAAGAGAAAAATCAATCTTGGGAATCATTTCGTTTATCACTTAATGAATATTCTATGAACACTAATTTTATCTTTTAAAATAACACGTCACAATATTTCTAATGCAACCTTAGTCATTTAAATCAAGAAAGATTTTCTTATAGGAATAATCTAATTAATAAAAATAAAACAGAGGCACCTCGAGATAAATGTTCACACTTACCATCACCAAAGATCTTAAAGAGTAAAAAAAATAAAGAAAAAGAAATATCACTTGGAATCTAACAACTAAAATGACAAAGACAAAAAGATAAAATAATAATAAACATAATAAATCATCACTTTGTCACAAATTGAAAAATCATAAATGTCCTCATGCCTTCATAATCGAATAGGGGTTTTAGGACTGAGGAATAACTTCTACCTAACAATTTCAAAGCCCATTTCCAACACAAGATCGTGCATCCCAATCTTGCCTTTTTGAGACACCGAAATGAGTGATCTCTCTCTAAGAACACTCATCTCAGTGTGCACAGAAGAGCCGTGTAATTGTCTTATCAGATCAAAAGACTTATAAACTCTTGCATTGATTATGAATGCCAGGTCAAGGAAAAGATTTTGCTGTTTGTCATCGAGTCCATCAGAACTCAACATCAGAACATCAACAATGTCCTTGTAGTCCAATAAAAACATTGGTCCCAGCCCTTCTAGGCAACAAGTGAAGTCAAGTCGTGCCGCGTTTTGTCACTTTTGTGGATTACCCTGTTGCTTCATTGTATTATCATTCGGCCATTTGCTTGTTCGGAGGGTGAGGGTGTGTCTTCTTTTCTCTTTTCCTTTCTTTTTCTCTTTATAAATATTTCAAAAGTGGCACGAGGATGCGAGACAACTAAACTTTACTTATTTATTTCATGCTATTTTTTTAGTCAACAACAACGTTATTTATTTTAAAACTAGTTATAGGGAGTATAAGTATGCGTGTTAAAGTTGTTTTAATGGTTATGGTGCTTTAATTTCTTTATTATTTCTTTTACAGAGAAATTTCCAAGGTTTTGCTATTGTGGCAGACATAGCGTTACGTTCTTTATGCGCACCGCACTGTTTGATGACTATACAAATACATATTTTGGAGGCTCTAATATCCCACCTCTTTCCAATCAACAGCGAGCACTAGGAGAAGAAAAGAGAAAATCTTTTGCAGAATTTTTCTGCGAAAATTCCAGAGAAAAATGCAGGCAAAACAATAGGAGGAGCAATGAACCCATGGGACAAAGCAAATGAAAGAGAAGAAATGAACCTGGATGTATGTGGAGGGAAGCGAAAGAAATAGCTCTCACAAACCAAGGTCTCAAAAATGGCAGCTTCAGAACTTCGCAGACTTGCTCTTTCTTGCAACAAGCTCTTCAATTCAGATTCAGAGATCATCAATTGCCTCACTGACGTGCATTTATCTCTGTTTGAGAGGCTCTTGTTTCCTGGAAGCTCGCGAGGTTTGCTTTATTGAATTATTATACGTCTTGGGCAGCTCTAGAAAAAGCTTGTCCACAAGAGGCTCACACTTCGTAAAAATTATTTTCTTTAATGGTAAGTTTCATATAAACTAAAAAGAATTGAGGAAATAAAAACGAAAATGACATGAATGCTTTTCTTTTAAGGAAATAAGGATACGGGTCTTAACCATACATATCTTTTTTCATGGGACCTACTTTATAACTTCCTATTAATGTATGCTTTTTGATTAAAGAAATAAATTGGCTATTTTAAGGCATCACTTTTTGGTACTCCTCACCTCTTACCTCCTCTATCATTCCTGCTTTTGGGATCAACCAGTCATTCCTGCTTTTGAGATCAAGTCGTCCCGCGTCTGTGAGTTATGGTAATTACTGGGTTTGTTCATTGTGCATTGGTACTGCACCACCTTTTGCTTTTGGAAAAAGTTACAGCCGTTAAAGTCAACAAGTCAACTGGCTAAGTCGTCCTTTGCTGTGCAATGCCGCGTTGCTTTATGTACCGCCCTTTTGCTTTTGGCAAACATTACACTTGATGTCCCACTTATCTATTTAACTTTTTGAAAATATTGATGATTAATTTGATAAAAAGAGCAAACAAAAATATTTAGCAAGTGGGGCCAAGTTACTGAACTCAAACAATCAGCAGCATCCTGATGGAAGATTGATATGCTAAAATGGAGAACGCGTCTGCTTTATGGAAGGAATGGTGCGAAAGAAAGACTACGTTACGTAGTCAACTAGCCAGTCCCCAAGTTTACTTATTTATTTGATCTTTTTTTCATCAACAACAGTTTTTTTTTTTTGGAAAAAAGTACGTGTTGAAGGTGTACACTGGTCGTCCCGCCCCACCTCTTTGCTTTTGGAAAAAGTTACGCCCAGGAGGACGGTGTACCATAATAGAAGAATTATAACAACCAATTAGTTAATTTAAATAGATTAAAAAAATAATTAAATTAATTATTTATAATTAATAAGTGTTATTTTTTTAAAATACCCTTACTAATTATATAAATTAACTAGAATAATTATTTGATAAAGTATTTGATATATGCAACTACTATAATAATTATCTTGAAAAAATAAATATAATAGATAAAATAAATTAAAATATTATGTTTAAAATTAAATTAACTCTTATATTAAATAGCAGTGTAAGCCAACCCAATTCAAGCATAGAAAAAGGATGGCCATTTCATGAATATAAAAATGAGAAATATTTAAGCATAAAAAGAATTGAGGAAATAAAAAGGCAAATGCCGCCAATATATGAGCATGGAAAAGCTTTTTGGTGAAAATGGATTTTACTTTTGGAAACCTCATACCCTCCTTCTTGTTTCCTGCGTCACGCGTGCCATTGAAGTCGACAAGTCAGCCAGTCAAGTCGTCCCCTGCTGTGCAATGCCCCGTTACTTTATGTACCGCCCTTTGGGTTTTGGCGAAAATTACACTTGATGCCCCACTTATCCCTGTATCACGATCTGGGTAAAACTACGCTCTAAAAATATCCATGTATCATTAAAAAAAAAATTGCTTGTTTAGATTTTTCTTTCTTTGTTTATTTTGTTTTCTTGTAATATCCAACCCAAGGTGATTTTAGGCCATGGCTAAGGTCGTGACCCGTAATAATAATATAGTCTATAATATTTGAATGTTTTTAATTGCTTCCTTAAAATTAGAGAACAACTTAAAAGTATGTTTGGATTAATTTTTTGATCTAATTTTATGCAGTATAAGATAATTATGTGAAAAAAAATTATTTAGTGAAACGTAAAAGAATTTTTTAATTGATTCTTAGATTTTCTAAACACCTCATAAAGCTAGGTTCTTGTTTGAATTTCATTTGTAATTATTTTGTCCCACCGATAGAATTTATTCTAACAACATAAAAATTGATATATAATTAAACACATAGCATTGCCCACCATTGTAATGTACTCCCTCGCATGTCATTTCCTTATTACAGCTTGCTTTTAACGTTTTCATACATCTTCAAAAGGTTTATTATATAATTAAATTTATTATAATATGGATAGGATGGGAGTATTAGTCTTCCAGTTTGTACTTGTATGTACATTCTAATAATTTAATTTAACTTATTATGTGCATAGAACCCAGCCGTGAAGTGTATTGTCTTGTGTAAGCATTAAAATCACATGAAATTAAATAGACAAAGAGACTTAAAGGCAAATTACAGGCTTTTAATCACTGAGGATTCTGTGGTGTGATAGGCAAGCCGTTTTACTCTTAACATGTCCCATCCTTGGATATATAAGCCACCAAGTTGCTGCTTATATGAGGGATCCCAGTATGCAGAATGACCAAGCAGCCAATAATCGTCTTGGTTTTGGCTGAACAAGCATTCTTTATATATTATGTTTATATTTGATGTTTACTTATTTATTTGATGTTTTTTCATCAACAACATTTAAAAAAAAAATAGTACGTGTTGAAGGTGTACTAGGCCATGTGTTAATGGTTGTTGTGCTTCAATCCTCTATCATTCCTGCTTTTGGGATCAACAAGTCAAGTCGTCCCGCGTCTGTGAGTTATGGTAATTACTGGGCCGGTTCAGTGTGTATTGGTACTGTACCACACCTTTTGCTTTTGGAAAAAATTATAGTCTCAAGGACTGTGCATTATAACAGAGGAATTTTTGGCTCCATAATAGAATAATTATATGATACACGTATTTAATATAAAAATAAGTTGAATAATTTAAATAGATTAAAAAAAGAGTTAATATAATTATTCGTCTCTTAAATTGGTCCTCATTTGGTTCTAGTCACTTAAATTTTAAGTTATAGGTTTCATTCTCTCAAATTTTTTTATTTAAAATATTGACCCCTATAACTAAATAAAAACCTAGATCATTTTACTCTTGAGAGACCAAAACTCAGGGTCTATTTGATATGAGAGAAATGGAGGGAAAGGGAGGGGAGAGAAAATTTTGATCAACTTATTTTAAAAAATTGAAGAAGCGGGGTTAAAATTTTTTGATTTATTTTGATCATTTTTTATCTTATATTTTCCCTTTATCAAAATTTTATAACCCCACTTGTTTAATTTTTTAAAATAAGCTTATTCAAATTTTCTCTCTCCTCCCTTTTCCTACATTTCCCTCATACCAAACATACCTTATAGTTTGAAACTCGATCAAAATCAAAATGAGAGCAAATTTGAGGAACCAAAAATTATATTAACCCCTTAAAAATTAGTTAAATTATTTATTTATAATAAATAGGTATTATATTTGCTAAAATATCCTTATTAATCATATATATTAGTTAGAATTAATATTTAATGAAATTTTTAACATATGTAACTATTATAAAAACTAACTTTTAAAAACAAGATAAATATAAAAAGTAAAATAAATTGAGATATTATGTTTAGAATTAAATCAAAAATTAAACCAATAGGAGCAGTATAATCCAACCCAGTTATAGAAAAATGAAGAATATTTAAGCATAAGAAGAATTGAGGAAATAAAAAAGCAAGTGACGCTAATATAAAAGCATGGAAAAGTTTTAGACGAAAATGGATTTTGCTTTTTGAAGCCCCAGGCCCTCCCTCCTATTTCCTGCATCACGCCTGCCATTAAAGTCAACAGGTCAACTGGCCAAGTCGTCCTTTGCAGTGCAATGCCGCGTTGCTTTATGTGCCGCCCTATTGCTTTTGGCAAAAATTACACTTGATGTCCCACTTATTTATTTTGCTTTATGGAAGGAATGGTGCGAAAGAAAGACTACGTTACTTAGTCAACTAGCTAGGCCCCTAGTTTACTTATTTATTTGATCTTTTTTTCATGGGAAAAATATAGAAAAATATCACTTGAATTTCATAATCCTTAAATAGTCTGTTAAATTTGAGAAATCTCAATTTAGTCAGGATTATTACTTTAATAAAAAGACCAAATTGCCCTTCATTTTAAATATTATTTTTAAAATATCACAGCTCCCACTGGTCAGCTGGTCACCGAAGCTCCGGCGGTGACAGTCACCGGAGCTCCGGCAACCGGCTGACAATTGGTCATTGAAAATTTTTTTGAAAATTTTTACAATTTCAGTATAACGGTTAACAATTTTGTAATACTATTAACAACTTCAGTATAACAATTAACAACAGGTTTTCTGGGAAATTCAACAAGCTCCGGTGACCGAAAACAATTGTTTTGAAAATTTTTTACAATTTCAATATAACTATTAACAATTTTTGTAATGCTATTAACAATTTCAATATATCAGTTAATAACAGATTTTTTGAAAAATTCAACAATCGGTCGCCAAAGCTCCGGCGGAGGAAAACAATTTTTTTGAAAATTTTTACAACTTCAGTATAATGGTTAACAACTTTTATAACATTATTAACAACTTCAGTATAGCGGTTAATAACAGGTTTTTGACTTTATTAAAGGCATTACTGAAGTTATAAAAATGCCACTTTTTGAATTTTCCGAAAAACTTGTTGTTAACCGCTATACTGAAGTTGTTAATAGAGTTACTGAAGTTGTTAACCGTTATACTGAAGTTATAAAAATTTTCAAAAAAAATTATTTATGGTCATAGGAGCTTGTTGAATTTCTCAGAAAACTTGTTGTTAATTGATATACTGAAGTTGTTAATAGTATCATAAAAGTTGTTAACCGTTATACTGAAGTTACAAAAATTTTCAACTTCAGTATAACATTAACAATTACATTTTTTTTTTCAAAATTTTTACAACTTTAGTATAACAGTTAACAATTTCGATATAGCAGTTAACAACAGGTTTTTCAGAAGATTCAAAAAGTGACATTTTTATAACTTCAGCAATGCCGTTAACAAATTTAAAAACCTCTTTGCTTTTGGAAAAAGTTACTCCCAGGAGGACTGTGTATCATAATAGAAGAATTTTAAACTCAATAATAAAATAATTATATACTAGCCCCTTTTTTGATACAAAAACTAATTAGTTAACTTAAATAGATTAAAAAATAATTAAATTAATTATTTATAATTAATAAGTGTTATTTTTTGTAAAATACCCTTTCTAATCATATGAATTAACTAGAATAATTATTTGATAAAGTATTTAATATATGCAACTACTACAATAACTATCTTAAAAAATAAATAAATATGAGAGACAAAATAAATTAAAATATTATATTTAAAATTAAATTAAAAATTAAATTAATTCTTATATTAAATAGCAATATAATCCAACCCAATTCAAGCATAGAAAAAGGTTGGGCATTCCGTGAATAGAAAAATGAAGAATATTTAAGCATAAAAAGAATTGAGGAAATAAAAAGGCAAATGCCACGAATATATAAGCATGGAAAAGCTTTTTGATGAAAATGGATTTTACTTTTGGAAACTTCATACCCTCCTTGTTTCCTGCATCACGCGTGCCATTGAAGTCAACAAATCAACCAGTCAAGTCGTCCCCTGCTGTGCAATGCCGTGTTGCTTTATGCACCGCTCTTTTGCCTTTGGCAAAAATTATCCATGTATCATTAAAAAAAACAATTGCTTGTTTAGATTTTTCTTTCTTTGTTTATTTTGTTTTCTTGTAATACCCTACCCAAGTCGATTTTAGGCCATTACTAAGGTCGCGGCCCATAGTAATAATATAGTCTATAATATTTGAATGTTTTTAATTGCTTCCTTAAAATTAGAGAACAACTTAAAAGTATGTTTGGATTAATTTTTTGATGTAATTTTATGCAGTATGAGATAATCATGTGAAAAAAAACTTTATTTAGTGAAACGTAAAAGAATTTTTTAATTGATTCTTGGATTTTCTAAAAACCTCTTAAAGCTAGGTTCTTGTTTGAATTTCATTTGTAATTATTTTGTCCCACCGATCGAATTTATTCTAACAATATAAAATTGATATATAATTAAACACAGCATTGCCCACCGTTGTAATGTACTCCCTCGCATGTCATTTCCTTATTAGAGCTTGCTTTTAACGTTTTCATACATCTTCAAAAGGTTTATTATATAATTAAATTTATTATAATATGGATAAGAGGGGAGTATTTAGTCTTCCAGTTTGTACTTGTACGTACATCCTAATAATTTAATTTAACTTATTATGTGCATAGAACCCAGCTGTAAAGTGTATTGCCTTGTTTTAGCATTAAAATCACCTGAAATTAAATAAACAGAGAGACTTAAAGGCAAATTACAGGCTTTTAATCACTGAGGATTCTGTTGTGTGATAGGCAAGCCGTTTTACTCTTAACATGTCCCATCATTGCATGTATAAGCCACCAAGTTGCTGCTTATATGAGGGATCCCAATACGTAGAATGATCAAGCAGCCAGTAATTGTCTTGGTTTTGGCTGAACAAGCATTCTTTATATATTATGTTTATATTTGATGTTTACTTATTTATTTGATGTTTTTTTCATCACCAAAATTTAAAAAAAAAATAGTACGTGTTGAAGGTCTACTAGGCCATGTGTTAATGGTTTTTGTGCTTCAATTTCTTTATTTTTTTTCCTAAAGAAGTTTGGCTAAATAAATTGATGTGTGAGAGAGAGAGAGAGATTTTTTTTTTAAAAAAAAAATCTAGTTGAATTATAGGGATTTTCTTCTCGCCTGAATTATAGGGACTTACCCGTACAGAGAGGGACTTTTGCTATTATGGCAGACATATATAGTATATAGCCCAAATATTTTTTTTTCCACAGTTCTTGTTAAAAATACTCCAAAATTGGGGTTTTATCAGATTTCACATGCCGCATGCCCATCCCTACCCCTGGTAAATATGCTTATCAGATCTCACTTGTTCATGTTTCATTATCTACAAGTGAAAGCAGATAATGGTAAGACAGAGATTGAACACTACAAGAAGAAAACTGTCAGAATTTTAAGCATAACAAAGAAATGGGAAGTGATTCAGGTGAAAGAAAGAAGCTCTTTGCTTTTTTAATATAATAAAATAAATAAATCAGTCGTTTACTTCATTAAAAGAATAATCGTGCCAAAAAAAAAAATTTGTCTAACGACGACAGAGTAAGGATGGGCTGCCATACAAGCCGAACAAAATGTGTGATCGCAGAATGAAGCATGAACGCGCATTCCCTCCGGATTTGGATCGTCTCACAAATTTTTTTTTTAAAGAATCCCTTTTCCACTCTTAAATCAAAGCAAAAATAACTTAAATGAAATATTATATAAAATTATTATTTAAATATTTTAACCCACTCTCTCCATGAATAGTGATATTTTTAGAAAAGTCTTATACTTTTAACACTAATTTTTTAACAACATAATTCAATTAATTATCTCTCATTAAAAGATACAGAAAGTAATCAATAAATAATCATGTTACTTTTCAATGAAATTGCTTAGTAAGAGAAGTTGTTTCTTTTTTTTTTTTAAATAGAGAAATCATACAAACATGGAGTAAAAGGAGCAGTTCTCGTAAAGCCACAACAAGATTAATAATTTACAGTTTATAAAGTTGTGAGGAGGCCCTCCATAAACCACACATAAAAAAAGGCAAAATTAAAATTTCATAAAACATTATGTTAATATATTCACCAAAAATAAACGAGACTAATTGAGATCAGGACCAGTCTTCATACTCGACAACTAAGTCATAATAAGGATAAAGAGGCCCATACTTATCAACATAACAGTTGAAACAAAGACCACCAAAGTAGGAACGTTGTCGCTTCACGTCCAAGTTATAACGGATATAGAGAGCAAAATCACGTAAAGCCGATGGTGGAATGTCGAAAGAGAGCATTACATCTAAGTGAGGCTGAATCCTTCTGCAATAATAATCATTAGAGAGTGAAAGTGATTTCAACATTGAAACTTGAGCAATGCTGCAACCTGCATTCCCAATAATATCAGTCTTGTACAATGTCAGATGCGTCAATAATGACCAAAAAGTGATACTGCTGGGAAGTCAGGTTAACAATATTGCACTCTTTTCTTCCATTAACTCATCCTCCTCCTCTTCTTCATCTTCCATTAATAATGTTGTACTCTCACCGTGCCTTTCTTCTTCTTCAAGTTCTGTTAATGGCGTCCACTCTTCATTATCAGTAATCATTTGTCTTCTCATCAATGGCTCCACCAAAGCCCTTTCTCCTCTATCACCCCTCAACTTCATATTAAGACTAAGTCAGGGCCCCGACGTTGATAGTAAGCATAATGAGGATCATAGGTATAGTGTTGCTTGAAATCATCCCCAAACTCCAATGGATTCTCTAACCAAAGAAGTTTCCTAATAAACGGAAGTAAAGATGTCAAACTTTGTGTTCCCAATCTCAATTCTGCTATCTTTGCTATTGTCACTACCACATGTTTAAATCTAACACCAGATATGATCTTGCCTTGTACGAAGAGTTTCATTGTCACTTTATTGAATGACAACTTGTCAATATCCAAATAATTTTACCCAAACACTCATCCGGAGCTTGTCCCTCTAATAGTTCCCCCAATGTTTATCTGCGTTGGCCCACTGTCATCTATACATAATTGTACATTCTTTTCTGGGATCGTTGAAGAATGAACTTGAGCCAAATTCACACAACTAAGAAGAGACATAAATTCTATGTTAGGGATATGAGAGAGATCTGGGAGTGCACTAAGGTCTTTTGAATGTGTTAGAAAGATTTCCTTTAGAATTGGAAAATGCTGGGGGAAAAAAAGGAAACTGTGTCAAATAAATAACTACAGGTACATATAATTTAATCAAGAATTTCTCACATGCCAACTACAAGATGAAATGGACTCCCGGAAGAAAAGTTCAACTACTATTTAACCGTCAACTTAAAGGTCAAGAAGCAAACATCTGCATTGTCAATGACTTAGTCGATCTTTGAGGTGAGATCTTCATCCTCACGAAAAAAAATTATGACCTGTAAAATATGATACGTACCTTATTTCCATCACAAAGTTGTTGGATATTACTGTAAGGCATTTCAAGTGTAATAAGATTCTCGGCACAAAATTGTAATGGGACATATGGTAGTGGATATTCTCCCAACTGAAAAACCTTATCTCTTCTGAAAGATAATCCAAATCTTCACAAATATTCAACTTTGAAGCTTTTCCCGATCAGACTTGTAAACTTTCAGAAATATTAAATTATACATCTTTCGAAAATTACTAGCTCTCAATTTAATCCTTTCTATCTTGCTCGCGTCCAATGACATGCATCGAATTGCCTCAATCTCCTAGCAATAGCAAAAAAAGGGAAACAGTGCAATTATCATTACCTGGAAAAATGATAAAAAATACTGCAGAACAATTAAATAGATCTTCTTTTTGAAACATCCGAATTAATAATTATATTGTGCGCTTTATTCAAGAATTCTTACAAATTCTATGTTTTCCTGATAACAAATGGACTTCTAAAAAATCATAAACATATAGACACACTCATACGTATACCAGCAGATATTTAATATAAATGTAAAGACAGCTGACAAGACCAGTTAATACAAGACATCGAAAAACAAGTATCCCCACGAATTAATCTCATGCGCTAAAAAATCAGTACTAGAAGTAAAAGATATGAAGCATGGAACAATCTAGACTACTTTATAGCCTCGCTCTAATATATGTCCTCTGTTAATTTACAAACCTTCATATACTTTGGTAATAGCATGTACTAGCATGCGTATGGATATACACACTTCCACTATACCAATTAGTAAGAGAAAAATCAATCTTGTGAATCATTTCATTTATCACTTCATGCAAAATCTTTGCACTTATCTGTTAAAATAACACGGCACGATATTTCTAATTTATATTCAATATTTAGGTGGATGACTAAGTTGCACACCAATGCAACTTTAGTTATTTAAATCAAGAAAGATTTTCTTATAGGAATAATCTAATTAGTGAAAATAAAACAGAGGTAACTCGAGATAAATGTTGACACTTACCACCAAAGATTTTAACGAGTAAAACACGTGTGGTCAAACAAATATCTAGGAATCTAACAATTAAAATGACAAAGGAGAAAAAAAGATACTCCTCAGGTCTTTAATATAAGACCCATTTAACTAATTTGATTAGATTAAGGAAGTTAGGTAAGTTAGTTAATTATAAAAAATGTGACATGTTTTTCTTAAAACACCATAATCATCTTTCTTAATACCCCATCTCTCTCTTTTACTTGATTATGGTTGAGGGAGTATCCATAGAGGTAGTTTAGAGAAAATTGATAAATATGAGAAATATGTATTATATTTAGGACCAAAACCAACTCAATAATTGGGTCCTATATTAAGGACTGGAGGAGTAAAACAATAATAAACATAATATATCATTACCTTGTCACAAATTAAAAAATCATATATGTCATCATGCCTCCATAGTCGAACAGGGGTCTTAGGACTAGGGAATAACTGCTGTCTAGCAATTTCAAAGCCCATTTGCAACACAAGATCATGCATCCCAATCTTGTCTTTTTGAGAAACTGAAATGAGCGATCTCTCTCGAAGAACACTCATCTCAATATGCACAGAAGAGCCGTATAATTGTCTTATTTGATCAAAAGACCTATAAACTCTTGCATTGATTAAGAATGCCAGGTCAAGAAAAAGATTTGGTTGTTTGTCATCAAGTACATCAAAACTCAACTTCAGAACATCAATGATGTCCTTGGAGGGAGTTTGATTTAGTTTGTCCAAAGCACTTTCCCACTCTTCTTTCCCTCTGCCATAGAGAAAGCAACCTAGCACTACTAGGGCTAATGGGTTTCCTTGACAATATTTCACTACTAATTTTGATAACCCCATATAACCTTTAAATGGCTCATATTGCTTGAATGCTTTCAAACTAAAGAGATGAAAGGCATCATCAAAATCCAAATCCGAAACATGATATGTTCAAAATGCAGAAGAATTCTTAAGCACTTGCATGTCTCTTGATGTGATAATAATTCTACTTCCTTCCCCAAACCAATCACGCACTTTGCTTAAATCTTCGGCTATTATCAAATTTTCCACATCATCAAGTATAAGAAGAATCTTTTTGTGTTGAAGCCTGCTTTTCACAAAAGTGGATTTTATGTCATAGATGCTAATGTCTTCATCTTTTAATAATTTCTTTGAGGCAATTTTTTTGTAGTTCATCCAAACTAATTCTTGCTAATTACTCTTTAACATTTTCCATAAAGGAGAAAGTGTCAAATTGAGCTTTCAACTCTTAAAATATAGCTTTAGCAAGTGTGGTCTTACCAGTACCACCCATACCCCATATTCCCACAATGCGAGCCTCAATTTGAAGCTTTTCAATGTTTTCAATATGACGAGCAATGCCAACAAGTCCTTCAAGATGAGAGGATGACTCATAGTTCAACTTGCTCAAAATGTCCTTGACAATCTCTTCAACAAGTTTGAATTTAGGTCTAGCACAATTGTCAATCAAAAGAAAAGGCATATTTAATAGCGAGAAAATAAAAAGAATAAAACAACCACAATAATTTGTTAGAATCTTTGAGATTAATTGAATAAGTCCCCAAAAACAACAAAGGGAGAATTCTGAGGCTACCTGATAACATTGGAATCCCATCCAGAGAGACTTGTAGATTGGATTAAAGCATTTCTCCACCTTTGCAATTTTTCATGGTCATCTTTAAATCTTTGCTTCAATACATCAAATCCTTTTCCAAAATTCCCATTTTGTTTGCATATGTTTGAAGGATCTACGTTATAGAAAATAGGTATCACAACCCTTCCAAATTTATGCATGCATTCTAATATGTGAACAAGCTCGTCCAAAGACCAAGTTGAAGAAGTATAATCCTCAGAGAAGATAATCACAGATATTTCTGATTCCTCTATTGTTCTTAGAAGAACTGGTGAGATCGATTCTCCTTTGCAGAGTTCGTGATCCATAAAAGTGTGAATGCTTGCGTTTCGAAGTCCTTTGTAAAGATAACTTGCAAAAGTGTGGCGAGTGTCTTCTCCTCTAAAGCTAAGCAACACATCATATTTGTTACCAGGAGGGGAAACCGTTTGAGTTAAAATTACATCATCTTCAGAACTATAGAAAGAAACAAACCATGAACAGATATTGGGTTATATGTGTAAGCAAATCAAACAAGAAAAAAAAAGTGTGAGGCTATTTCAGAAGCTAGCTACCTATCATCAACAGCAACAGGTTGGTTACCATTACACAAATGAGAGATGAATCTAATAGCTTTGGAAATTGATACTCCCAATAGGATCAACAAAGCTTTTTTGAGCATTGAAGCAGTGGCTGTGGATAGCAATTTCTAGCATTAGCCTTCAGCAACCTGAAACTAAGGCGATAGAAAGTGCAAGCAAAAGTTCATATATCTACGCCAGTAAGGCAGCGAGGGACGGGATTCAACACTAGAAGAAAGAAGGAATTAACAATTTTTTTTTTTTTTTTGCAGAATTTGTCCTGTGAGAAGAAAACCCTGAAAACTTCAGGACAATGCTTGCAAAAATAGTATATTTTAATGGGATGAAGCAAGTGGAAGAGAAAAGGAAAAGAATTAATGGATAGTATTAACCAGGTGGATGTCAGCTTTGCTCACAAGCTCTCAAAAATCTTAGCTTCGTGGTTTGCCGACTTCCTCCGTTCTTCAAACAAATTTAACGAATAATTAATAATTCAATATGATGAAGTTTTCTAGGATTAACATAAATACTAGGGGAAATAGTGGTAAAACGGTGGGATCAAGCAAGTGGGTTATGAAGAGAAGAGGATACGCCCTGGTGGTTTATGTCGCTACCTTTTTTATGCATAACAATGAACTGGGGGGTGATTTCCAGCACTCTACTTTTATACTATAAATTATAATAAATAAATCAGCCATTCACTTCATTCAAAAAGAAAAAAAAAAGAATTAAATAAGTGAAGACTTTAGTCAGTGGATCCAGCCCACCAATATGTTAGAAGGTTTTGCCACTTTTTATTTCAGAAATTAAAGTATAAAAAATTTCGAACGTTTAAGTTATATAAGATCTACGACAGTAAAGTAGCTAAGGAGGAGACTGAATATGATCAACAGCTAGGACAAGGACAAGAAAACAGCCAATCTTATGCAGAATTTTTCTGTGAAAATTCCAGGAAAAAAGCTTGCAAAACAGTTGATGGAGCGATGGATCCGTGGGATAAAGCAAGTAAAAGAGAAGAAATAAACCCGGATAGATGTGGAGGGAAGCAAAAGAAATAGCTCTCACAAACTAAGGTCTAAAAAATGGCAGCTTCAGGACGTGCAGACTTGCTTTCTCTTGAAACAAGCTCTTCAGATTCAGAGATCACCAAATGCCTCATTCACATATTAATCTCTCGTTTCCAGAGGCTCTTGGTCCACTTTCTGGGAAGCTCGCAGGCCGACGGTGTTGCTGCGCTACATTGCTGCTAATCGTACGACTCCTTTGGAAAAAGTTTCTCCCTGCACGACAGACTCCCAATTTCAAATATAAAATTTTTTTAAAAAATTAATTAAGTTAATTTTTTATAAAATAAATGATTAATATAATTTTTAATTTCTTAAGTTTATTTTTATTTTGATTTTGATCTCTTAAATTTTAATATATAGATATTTGTCCTCCAAATTTCATTTCATTTAAAAAATTGATTACCAGTCTAATAAAAAGTTAAACCTACGATTTGAAATTTGATAAATCATAACTAAAATAAAAACAAACTTGGAAAATCAAAAATTATATTAATTCAAAAATAAATATATACACGTATTTGTTTCCCTAAATTACTGATGTATTTATTAGTAATTTATATAGAATATTAATTGATAGAAAATTCTCTTAATATATATCATTAGTAGAAAAAAATTTTAAAAAATTATAAGTTTAGAAAATAAAATGGAATAAGATTTTATATTTAAAATCAAAGTCATTAGTAGAAAAAGTGGTAAAAGTATTTATTTTAAAAAATTCTTTTTTATTTCAATTTTTTTGTTAATGAATATTTAATCATAAGAGATTTTTTTTTACTGGAAACGTAAAAAAATTGAGGAAATAAACATGTAAATGGCATGAATTCTTTTTTTAGGGGAAAAAAAAGTAGGATATGGATCTTAAATTATAAGGAGTATGAATTTTTTCATCTTTCACGTAACGTTTATAATTAGTATGTAAGTTTTTATATGAATAAGAAGTCCTAATATGGTGTTAGCCATAAGGGTATTTTGGTAATCCTATTAAAGCATTTGAAAAAAATAATTTAACACAAATCAAAATAAAATTTTTCTTATCTATTTATTTCATATCTTATAAAATTACATTTAAAAGATTAATCAAAACACTCTAGTAATCTCAAAGTCAAAATATTAATGTTTTTCAATTAAAAATGAATTGGCTATTTTTAGGCATAATTTTTGGGCGGATTTTAGGCATATATTTTAAATGAAAAACTTTTGATAAAATTGAAAAATCAAGGAATGAAAATCCAAACCAGATTGGCGGTTCAGGCCGGAAACTAATAAACCGGTCACTTGTTGACAAAATCAGTGACAAAGTAAACCGACGTGACCCGGCTAGACTCGGAATAAACAGTAATTAACTCGCACAACCCCTTGATCTGAGCAAGTTACTGAGTTGTTTCAAAGCCTCCCATGCTTTCAAAAACTTCAGCAAAAAAAAAAAAAAAAGGACACAGACTGTTGCCGGATTTTTTCGCTCTTACGTCTGAACCTCATTGTTGCTGCGGCTGTCTCCTCACCATTGTTCTTTTCAGCCCGTGATGGCAAGATCTCCCTACCACTCTTCATTACGAACTCACCAGATAGGCGTGGAGAAGCCATGGACGCTCTCAAAAAAGAGAGAAGAAGGAAGTGTAAAAGAAATGAGAAATATACCTCCAAGCCTGCTGTGATGCGTGTGAAGGAAACATAAATGAAAGGACAAGACAGACTTGAGCACGTGATGTGTGAGGAGAAGAGGGAGGTAAGCGAACACGTGTGAAGTAAAGAGGAAAATAATTAACAAAACAGGAGGAAAGATTGGATCATAGGGAAGAGAACAAAAAAAAAAAAAAAACTGGAGAGAAAAATTCATATACATTCGAATATTTTGTAATTTGAAGATTTATTCAAAGATCAAATATTATATTTTTATAATTAAGATATAAATAATTAAATATATTTTAATTAAATTATATTATTTTAATTATTACTGGTCTGATTCCAAATTGACTTCGATCTAATCCACTAATTCATGAACTAGTGCCTCAATCGTTTCATTTAATGATCTGATTTTTAACACGTTAGAAATGGATTTTACTTTTTGGGGTTCCCTGCCCCTTGCCTCTGCAGTGCCACATTGTCATTCCTGTCTCGGGGTCAAATGCTCCATATGCTCTGATTCATCAACCGAGGTGATGAAGGTGGTACGAGGAGAGAAAGTTGTGTGGCTCAAATGACCATTTTGATTCGACCTCCATAGGCTTATTACATTTTTTGACATGCAGTGAAGACAATAATCATCACTCCCAAAAACGAAGAGTGCTGCTATTGGCAATACATCCATGGCCATGGCTCTGAGCCATTCAGGATGATGAAAATATGAGACGTAAAAGTCGTGGCCACACCAATCTCTAGTTGGAACTTCCAAACGCAGTCTTATATCCTTCAGAGTTCGAAACCCTTCGCAACTTTCATGTCCTGCAAGTGCCCTCAGAATCCAAACTTCAGGAATGCTTCAACCTGCACTTCCAGTAATATCACTCTTCATTAGCGACACTGCTGTCAACAATGACCAGCGAGCGATGTCGTTTGGAACTCTTGTTAATCTATCATTCTCATCATCCTCATCTTCTTCTTCTTCAATATATTCATCAACCACGACATCTCTTACTATTAATGGCCCGCTTGGTGCTTTCTTTTTCACTTCCGCCACTCCTTTTAATTTTATTTGGCTCCTCTCACCATAGAAGAAGGAATCATAGTGAAGATCATAGTCAAAATGTTGCTGGAAATTTCCAAACTCAATTGGACTCTCCGACCAATGAACAGTCCTAACAAAGGGAAGTAAGAGCGCCAAACTTTGTGTCCTCAATATTGAGTTCACAATCTCAATATTAATGCGGCACTTGGACGCTAAATTCTCTGAGAATGGCATAAACATGAGTTTGAATTCAAAACCAGTGATGATCTTGCCATCATCAGATACAAAGAGCTTCGTTGTGGCTTTAGTGAGTGAGAAGTCGTTAAGATCAAGAAAATTGTTGACAGTCACTAACCCAGAATTTGTTGTCCCATTCATAATAGAGCCACCAAAGTTTATGTGTCGTGACCTTTCGCAAGACTCAAGAGTAAATTTGGTAAGCTTGCCCAGGATAGTTGAAGAATCGATTCGATTCAAATTGTTGCAGCCATCTACGCTTAAGCTTTCAAGGAGTGGGACGTCAGATAGATCGGGAAGTGCGATGAGATGTTTGGACTGGCTTAGAACAATCTCCTTTAAATTTGGAAATTTCTGAAGGAAAGGAGCATTGTTAAATAAATTAGACAGGCAAAAAATTTAATCTTGAGACGACAGAAAAAAAGAAAACTAAAGCACTTACTTGATTTCCATTCTAAAGTTGTTGGAGATGACTGTATGGCATTATAAGATGAACAAGATTCTCTGCGCAAAAGCTCCATGGCACAGATTGAAGAGGACAATCAACCCAACAGAGGAACTTTAGTTCTTCAGGAAGACAATCCAGATCTCCATAAATATTCACTTTCGAAGGCTTTTTCCTATCTGACTTGTACAATTTAAGGAACTTTAAATTATACATCTTCTGAAAATTACTACTTGTCAATGTGGTCCTTTTTATCTTGCTCATGTCTAATGATAAGCACCGAATTGCCTCAGCCCCCTAGCGATAAAATTATATGGAGCAAAATTATTAATATATAAAAAGTGATCAAATAACAAGTAATAGAACAATTAGATATATTTCTTTTAGAAAAATCTAGATGCATACGCTTTCGTGCAGTTTATTCAAAAAATTCACTCAATCTTACAATAAATAAATAATAAATTGGTCAAAACTTATACACAAGCTGGTTCGCAAGGACAAGGATAAAATATTAAGAAAATAAAGAATATAATAAATAAATTAATACCTTGTCATTATTGAAAAAATTATAAATATCCTCATGCCTCCATAGTCGAGCGGGTTTTTCAGGGTTAGATATGAGTTGTTGCCTACAAATTTCAAGTCCCATGTCCATTAGAAGAGCATGCATCTCAATATCACCATTTT